CACGGTACATATATTAGGTCTTTAGGGAAATCGCTAAGTAGCGAAACAACTTTGTAAGTTTGAACATTGTATTCTAATCATACAAGCGGTTGAACATGAAAAGAAACAAAACAAATTTAGCGGCTACGCCCTGGTTAGTTAAGAGTGTTAAAATACTTTTTTTTAAACATTTGCAAACATTTTTTTATTATTTTAACCCTCATGGCAGGTTGATTTATGCATTCAGGCCTTAATGCTTAACTGCATAATAAATTTGATATTTTAAGCGAGTAATATAATTCATATATATATATTTCAAGGATACAATAGAATAGTGCAGGTGTATAGACATTATTGAGGAAGGAACTGAGTTTACGTCACAAACTCTAATTTTATAATTCCTATATCTTTGCAACCAGATTGTGTAAACCTTTGATATTTCAAACTACTAATATAATTCATAGTATCAAAGGTCTACGGCATCAGGTTTCAAAGATATAAGGCTTAGATTTGAGTTTAATTATTTACATAATTTCCTGTTTTCTCATCGCCTTTAAATTATTTTCATGAATTTTCATTATTCAAATCTTTTTAGTCAATTTAAAATACCTGATACACCAAGCTGTAGGTTTTAAAGAAACCCGAATTTTAAATGATACATCTTTCACGTTTTTGTGAGCGTGCCTTCACTTTTAAAGAGAGAGAAAAGCCCTACACACGTACACTATACAACCCATCATACATTTAGGATATTTTAACCCCCCCCCCAAAAAAAAAAAGGTGATTTTTGTTCCCGAGAAGCTGATTGAAACTGTTCTCCGTGGAACACATAATTTTCTCTCACATAACTTTTAATTTATGTTTCAAGGTTTGTGCAAAAACGAAAGGTAGCAGATAAAGGTAAAAATAGGGCCGTTTTTTTCAATTTTAAACAGAATTGATTCTTTATCCCATTTTTGTGTTTTGGGAACACTCCCTTTAATAAAATGATTTTAAATTCAAGTTGTGTAAAACTGACTGGGTATATTTTCTATGTCTAAATCCAATGAACTTTCTTTTCAGCAAATATGAAAAAAGTTTCGGACTGTTTAACTTTAACTTTAACTCGGATCGAAAAAAAAATCAATTTGATATCAAACAAATCTTTTGGATATTAAAACTTATAGTCATCGACTGTTTTTTGTATACAGTTGATATTTATAATATTTTGTATTAGTTTTATATGCAATACTGTAACCCTCCCTGCTGAGGATGGTTATAGAGCCTGGAAAATTCTTCTTTTTATAGTTTTATAGTTTTTTATAGTTTTTTTTTATAGTTTTTAAGTATGTTTTAACTTTCTCAATTTGTGTGGACTCTACGTTATTTGTTACAAGTCGGTTTAACAATTTTCTCCTTATAAAACCACCAGATAGAAGTAAGATTAGTAGCGATCAAAAGCATTTATTTATCGCCGTAAACCTATACCCCCTTTTTTTCGCAATCACTGCCTTTTAGAAATTAGAGTTTGTAGCAAGAATTAAGTTCCTTTGTGAACATGTTTCCTTAAGCTATTTTTGTAAATATCATAACCCTGTGTAATAGAAATAATAACAAAAGGTTTTGAACATTTGCACAAAGTTAAGCAGAATTTATTTTTTTATATATTAAAGGTTAAAGAAGAGAGCAAAGGTCATATCCCCCCTCTCCCGCTCCCCTCCCCCAACCCCCTTTAACCTTCATTATGAAATTTGTTTGCTTACAGCTCCCTTTCCAAATAATATTCCCTTTTCTAAATGTTTTCAATTAAAAGATTGAAAACGCCAGGATTTCCTGAGAACATAAGAAGTGCATTGAATCCTGCTAATCCATAAATATTAGAAGAGATTGGGAAACACTGTTAGTCAATGGAGGAATTTAGAACTATAGATTCGTCTTTAACCATCGCAGCATTTAGTAAACAACTTTCAATTTTTAAACTTGTAATATTAAGTCTATTCATAGATAGATTATTTTTCAAATCTTTTGGTAAAACTACGAAGGAGGTGGGAGGGGGTGTGGAAGGGTTTCAAAAATTTTGAGTAATCAGTTGTTACAAATATGGACGATTCTATCAAAAAATTCATTTTTAAAAATCACACGAATTTTGGTTGAACATTTTTTTTTAATTTTTCAATGTAAAAGATATGGATACTATTTTCAAGATTTCAACGACAATTTTAAGTTAAAAAGGGTATGATTTCTTGAAAGTGTGGTTGATTTGGTTTTTATGTGAATATAAATCTATTTCCCACTATTTTTAATCAGGAAAGCCTGGGGAGTTACAGTGGGTGCATGGATAGATTAATTTACATAATTAGATGCTGATTTATTACACTCATATTCTTGGAAAAATCAAATATTTAGCAATTGGTGTTTCAATCCATAAATTTGTTCGCATTTTTTGAACTTTTACATAATTAAAAATGTGGTAATCATATGCAATAACTATATTTAAAAACTAAATTTTTTTTTCTATCCAAATAATGCTTTGCTCTAGGACATAGATAAGCAATATAATTAATAAGATTATTGAATTTCAGAGTGAAAAGGACTTCATCTCATTTATAGGTTTTAGAAATATAATATATGGAAAGCTCAATTGTAAAATAGTTTAGGTTTCCAGGCAAAGCTGAGTTACCAAGATAGTATAGAAATAGTTAAAATAATTATAAAAATATAAAATAATTTGTTTTGAATAGAAAATATTGTAGGTGATGAAATATATTGTAATTTATTTTGGCCAAATTAATTCCATTCCTTGGAAAGTGTGTATGCAAGATGGAACATGCTTTTCCCACAGAATATTCAATGCAAATGTGAGGTGTGGGGGGGATATGTATTAAAGGGATTGTTCTTGTAATTTCAAGTGAGTCTCTATTTAAAGATTCACAACTCCTCTCAAGCATTTTGTAAATCTGACATCAGACTCCATTCCAGTGAAAATCAATCAAAACTACGTCTACAGATTTTAGTAGTTTAATAAATTTTGCAAGACTAAAATATAAAAACCAAATTCAGCTCTTGCTAAAATATTCATAAAGAAATATTATAAAGCTTGGTTTCTTTTTATCCTTTAGTTTGCACATAACGTACAAGGAACAAATTTTTATATTTTCAATTATTTTCCGAAAAATTGACTTTTGTAATAAAATGATTAAATCTGAATTTCTTAAAGTTGTGGTTTTCTTTCTCCCCTACTGTGTGTAAACAGTGTTAATTTAAACTGTATGCTATGTTTACTATTTTTCACCAAATTTCAAATGTTGGCCAACTCTGCAACAAATTGATGAAAAAATCATTTGAAGAGTAAGATGTTAAAGAATAATTAAATATATTACAACTTGCAGGAGATTGGTCGTTAAAGATCTCCGACGTTCGGCTGGAGGATGAAGGATTGTATCAATGTCAAGTTGGAGGATCAGGATCCAGTCCTCCAATGAAATCCAGGTATAATCAGGATCTAGTCCTCCTATGAAATCCAGGTATAATCAAGATCCAGTCCTCCAATGAAATCAAGGTGTAATCAGGATCCAGTCCTCCAATGAAATTCAGGTACAATCAGGATCCAGTCCTCCAATGAAATCCAGGTATAATCAGGATCAGGTCCTCTGATGAAATCCGGGTATAATCAGGATCCAGTCCTCCAATGAAATCCAGGTGTAATCAGGATCCATTCCTCCAATGAAATCCAGGTACAATCAGGATCCAGTCCTCCAATGAAATTCAGGCATAATCAGGATCCAGTCCTCCAATGAAATCCAGGTATATAATTAGGATCTAGTCCTCCAATGAATTCAAACTGTTTCTTTTGGCAAAGGTATTATGGCAAGTGTAATTATGGCAAAAGTATTATGGCAAATGAAACTGAGCCCCAGATCAAGGTGTTATCAAAAACAAGTCCTCTGATGAAATCCAGGTAAAATCAGGATCCATTCCTCTGATGAAATCCAGGTATTATCAGGATCCATTCCTCCGATTAAATCCAGGTAAATCCAGGATCTGGACCTCCAATGAAATCAAGTTGTAATTAGAATCAAGTCCTCCAATATAATCCAGGTAAAATCAGGATCCATTCCTTTGATGAAATCCAGGTAAAATCAGGATCCATTCCTCCGACAAAAACCAGGTATAATCAGGATCAGGTCCTCCGACTAAATCCAGGTATATTCATGATCTAGATCTCCAATGAAATCGAGGTGTAATCAGAATCAAATCCTTCAATGAAATCCAGGTTAAATCAAGATTAGGTCATTAATGCTCAAGGCATTTACAATAAAAAAGACAGATTTATATCTTTTTAAAAATAGAAAATTATGTCAAAAGTAATTATAGCAAGTGTAATTATGGCAAGTGTAACCATTATTGCAAGTGTAACTTATGGCAAGTGTGACTTATGGAAAGTCTAACTTTTGGCAAGTGTTTCTTATGGCAAAGGTATTATGGCAAGTGTAATTATGGCAAAAGTATTTGGCAAGGTGTAATAAGAAACAAGTTCTCTGATCAAGTCCAGGTAAAATCAGGATCCATTCCTCCAATGAAATCCAGGTATAATCAGGATTAGGTCCTCTGATTAAATCTAGGTATAATCAGGATCCAGACCCCCAATGAAATCCAGGTATAATCAGGATCCAGTCCTCCAATGAAATCAAGGTGTAATCAGAATCAAGTCCTCCGATGAAATCCAGGTAAAATCAGGATCCATTCCTCTGATGAAATCCAGTTAAAATCAGGATCTATTCCTCTGATTAAATCCAGGTATAATCAGGATCCATTCCTCTGATGAAATCCAGGTATAATCAGGATCCATTCCTCAAATTAAATCCAGGTATAATCAAGTTCAGTCCTCCGATGAAACCCAGGTATAATAGGATCTAGACCTCCGATGAAATCCAGGTATAATCAGGATCCAGTTCTCTAATGAAATTCAGGTAAAATCAGGATCTATTCCTCTGATGAAATCCAGGTATAATCAGGATCCAGTCCTCTGATGAAATCCAGGTATAATCAAGTCTAGTCCTCCGATGAAATCCAGGTAAATCAGCTTTCAGTTCTCTGATAAAAATCCAGGTATAATCAGTATCTAGTCCTCCGCTGAAATCCAGGTTTAAATTGAATCCAGTCCTTGGATGAAATCCAGTTGTCTCGCCCCTAGAAAAAGGCCTTAGAATAAAGATATATTATAGGGTTGCAATGAATGTTTTTAATCCAATTTCTCAAGGCCAGCTTATCGAATAAAAACCGAAAATTTTGATAGTTCAGGTGCTAAGAAGGTTTGAAAAAATGTCAAAAAAGGACGGAAAATGTAAAATTAGTTTCAAAATTTTAGTTTCTAGATCTTTAGCTTAAATAACAAAAATGTTATTGGCTTTTTTAGATATTTTATCACTGACTTATATCTTAACTTTAATTTAAAAATAAGTGGGATAGAAAAAATACTAAGTGGGGGGGCGTCGAACGCCCCCTCCCCCTTCCCCAGCCTGTTTAGGATTATAGAAGGAACAACAGATCAATGTTGTTTAATCTAAAAAGAAGTTCATTTGGTTAAGCTAATTAAAGTATGCCCAGGGGAAATCATACTTAGCAACTTTATCATAAAACTTCTAGATTCTCGCATATCTTATATCATTTTGAAAGTTTGCACCCCTATACAAGTTATGAGAAAGTTCATGGGAAATTACATAAATCAATTATTATTATTGGTATTGTAAACATTCTCAAGGTTTAAGAAACTTTATATGTAGGATTTCAAAAGTTATTTCAGTTATTTGATTTATAAAATGTGTACTTCGGTGGTGAAACTCGAGTGAGCATATTGTAATGCTTATCCTTTTCACCGCTAGATAACTACAAAAAAGTCCCATTAAAAGGGTAATTTAAAACCAAAAATTGAAAAAATGGCTCTTCTACCCTTTTTTATCGTCTTTGTTCAGATATTTGCAAGGAAAAAATCGCAAATTTCAGTTCAAGATAGCCTGTGGCGATCATATAGTTTTGATTTGCCAAACTGACGACATTTGCTTTAGTTAATATATCATTAAATATTATTGGTAGATGTAAAAAAAACTCGTTTTTTAGCTAGATACATAAAGATTTCATTTTAGCTTGTCTTATACATCTCAACATCTGTATAAGTTATCTAATTTCCAAGTTATTTTTGGGAAAAAATCCATTTTTTTGCTTAAAACTTTTTTTAATTGATGTGTGCTATTTAAAAATACGTCTCTACTCAACAGTCAAAAAATAAAGATTGTTCTATGACAAATTCAGAACCTTCTGTATGGCGCGCTCTTTACTAAAAATTACCAAATAATTGAGATATCTGAGGAAAACTAAGAAAAAAAATTTACCAAACATTTTTAAAGTAAAAACTAAAACAAATTTTGTCAGTTTACCTTCTCATGATTATATGATCGCCAGAGGCTACTTAGATTAAAATTTGCAATTTTTTCCCCTGCATATATCTGAACAAAAGCAGTAAACATGGTTAGTAGTCTAGCAAATTTTCAGTTTTAAAGTACCCTTTTAAAGGACTTATCATAAGAGGTCAAATAAAGTATCACATTTTACTCCAAGACCCTGGGAACAATTCCAAACCCCTGAGAGCAGCCACCCCTTCCTCGGTGACTAACACTAACACAAAGTTAGTCTGGTCGCAAAAAACCATTCGTGATAAATTGTATTTTGTATGGAGTTCATCTTTAACCTCATACATTTAATCTTTAATCTTTACAACATATTGTGTAGTTATAGTAAATAATTTATGAAGATTATTTTTAGATATTTAACCAAATATATATTTTATGTTTTCTTTCCTTGCTGTGTATATGTTTGTAGCAAATACCTACTCCATAACAATTTCTCAAGATGTATCTAACCAGATCTACTCGTTACCAATATCAACCAGGACTAACTCTTCGGTTCTGAGTGCCCCAAAGGCAATATCGTTTTCAGTTTACAGAATATCATGTTTACACACTTTTTGCTTCATATTCTTATATACTTTTTATTCTAGAGAGGGGAATCTTACTGTTTACATTGAACCCGATCCTCCAAGTGTACTGCAGGTAAACTTTAAAATATACTGAAGATAAACTATCTAGTGTACTGCATGTAAACTATCTAGTGTACTGCAGGTAAACTATCTAGTGTACTGCAGGTAAACTATCTAGTGTACTGCAGGTAAACTATCTAGTGTACTGCAGGTAAACTATCTAGTGTACTGCAGGTAAACTATATAGAGTACTGCAGGTAAACTATATAGTGTACTGCAGGTAATCTATATAGAGTACTGCAGGTAAACTATATAGTGTACTGCAGGTAAACCATCTAGTGTACTGCAGGTAAACTATCTAGTGTACTGCAGGTAAACTAATTAGTGTACTACAGGTAAACTATCTAGTGTACTGTTTCTTTAGAAATAGGGATTAATCTTTTCCGAGCTTTTAACTTTTAATTCGAAGAGATAAAATGTTTCATCCCTGAACACCTGAGCGGAGTTTTCGTTATTTTTGATTGTTTTATGATTGTTGAGACTTTCAAGAATGGTTGAAAGGTATAAAATTAAGTTATCGAACTGTAAAAGTATATAGATTAGTGAATTCTAAAGGAATTAACAATGCAAAAGTTTTGAGCTCCGATTACAATAAGTTTAGATTGCGTGACAGTATAAAACAACAAGGAATGAATTATTGATAGATAAATAACTTTGCAAATAAGTAACAGCTGTTTACAATATTGATTCATTCCAAAAACTAACGATTTATACTAACCGCTTGCTTCGATGTCTGAATGTTTTTTAATCAAAGTTCGTCGACCTTAGATATTTCAAACCGTGAATTCTGTTGTATCAAATAATGATTTTTTGTAATATAAAACGTTAAACCATCTGATTGCATAGGATTAGAAAATTTGAGTTTGTGGCAAATACTCAATACCTTTACTCCCTGGTATTTCAAACTAGGATCAAACAGAGCTCATAGTTTGTAACATCAATTAGGTGTACGAAATCAAATTGCAAAGATAAACAGATTAGAAAATTAGATTTTGTGGCGGGATTCAGTTTTTTTCAGTAAATTTATTTTTATTTTATTTTTATTAAAAAATTGCTTCTTTTAAATAAAAAAAACAGATCATTATTTGTTTTGTTGATCTAATTTTTTTTATATATAGAAACAAACAGCCTAATATGTTTACTTAACTACCCGTTTTTAGTTTCACCACCTCTTGCAATTCATAAATTCCAACAGGCGGGCTAGCAAACATATTTTAAAAACTTCCGACTTCTATTTTTACGATATGAAATTGCCCCTTAATTTGAATGGGTTACACTTATAATGATATAAATGTTTGCACTTGATTATATAATTGTACAGCTACTTATGGTTGGTAATTTAGCTGTCAACTTTTAATTAGTTTCCGATTGCATGCAGTTTACCCTCCCTAGGGATATTAAAGGTGTTAGCTAAATTTTTCTTAATTGGAAACTATTCATCCTGTCATAGCTTATAGTCTATGGGTGGGACCATTTCCCACTTTTATCATAATAATTTTTTATATTCTTTTAGCGTTGAAATTTTCTTTTTTCTCATTTTTCCAATTCATTTGATGCTTAACATTTTGAACATTATTTCACTAGCAAATGTCCAAATTGGTTTCTTAAAAATTTAGCTAAATTTAGCTAATTACAGCTTGGGAGTGGATGGAACTATCATCTTCTGTGAATAGGTCACTTTGATGAATAGGGAGGAGGGAGTGGAGTACTGAGTATGGTGCTGGGGAGTCGATGGAACTATATATATATTGAATAGGGAGGAGGGAGTGGAGTACTGAGTACTGAGGCTGGGGAGTGAATGGAACTATATATATTAAATAGGGAGGAGGGAGTGGATTACTGAGTATGGTGCTGGGGAGTCGATGGAACTATATATATATTGAATAGGGAGGAGGGAGTGGAGTACTGAGTACTGGGGCTGGGGAGAGAATGGAACTATATATATTAAATAGGGAGGAGGGAGTGGATTACTGATTATGGAGCTGGGGAGTCGGTGTAACTATATATATAAAATAGGTAAGAGTGAGCGGAGTACTGAGTACAGGTGCTGGGGAGTGGATGGAACTATATATATTGAATAGGGAGGAGGGAGTGAAGTACTGAGAACAGGTGCTGGGGAGTGGATGGAACTATATATATATTGAATAGGGAGGAGGGAGCGGAGTACTGAGTACAGGTGCTGGGGAGTGGATGGAATTAACTTGTGTTTCTAGAAATGGAAAACCACCATCAACGGTAATTCTTTAAAGAAAATTATTCATAAGTAAATAATTTTAAATTTTAAATTAAAACTTCAAATAATATATCTATTCCTAAATCTTATACAGTACCAGAAAGAAATATAAAACAATAATTTTCTAAGTGAATTTTTATTTCATTTTCATTTTTGAACAAATTAACCTGTTCAAAATGTACTGCGGACCCCTTATGAAACAATATTAGATTCTAACTGTAGTTGCGTTTTTATTTTTATGTACTCATGCTTTAAACCATCATTTACTTTGATTTATCTGTTTTAAAAGTTTTAAAATTGAATTAAAATTCTGGCATGCAAGCCATATGCATTTTTAATGCCGGATTTTTTCTTTAAAAAGCTAACAAAATGTCAGGGAATCCTCGTGTCTTTTCAAAAATGAAATCTCTTCAACATATTGCGTGACTCTTTGTTAAAATATTCAAACTAAAGGAAACTATGAAAAGTGATGGCAAGAAAATTCGAAACATATAAACATTGGTAAATCTGAAACTGGATCAATTAGTTTCAAAAAATAACATTTTAATTCAAGTTAATCTATCTATAAGAGTATAAGAGTTTGTACCACCTTTTGAGCTCTAACTCATGAAAAGTTTAGGCCAGTTTCATCTCAAACGGCGATAAAATTGTTTAAACGACTTTATCGAAAATTTAAAATTTGAAGTTAACCAAATTTGGTCCAGGAAACCCGTTTTCCTGGACCAAATTTGCTTGCAAAACATCTCTTGCTAGGCGCTGGATGTTTTCTTGACAAAATTGGCCCTGGGGACCCTTGGTAGATTTCCTTCCCTGTTAATTAATTGTAAATGAATAATAATATGATTTAATAATAAAATACAACTAATCAAATATAATGTTAAATTCTAAAAGAAAAGAAACCTAAAATACGTAAAAATGTCATTTCTATTTACAGTATGAGAATACAAACCTGTTACATAAAAACTTGTTTTGTATTTAAATATAACGTTTAAGACAGATTTAGATTTCAATGTTGTTTTCCTAAAACTGGAATCCAATATTGCGAATTTCCCATAAAAACTTCAAGATTTTGTGTTATTTTGTTGAGATATTTTTAAACATTCATTAAATAATCATCGCGTGTTAGTTAAGATTATCTATATGTTTGTCTATTTTTCTGTATCAAATAAAAACGTTAAAACAGCTGAACCGATTGGACCCACACTTTTTTTGCAACTAACATGACCCTGGGAAATTTAATGGAAGGTCAAAGTTGAAAACTTCTGACTGAAAAAAATGCCGGTATTCATAATTTTGGAAAATGCACCATTTTCAACAGAAAAATCCGCCAAAATATTTTTGTTCATTGCAACGTACGAAGAAAAAGTAAAAGTTGAATGCTAAACTAGTCGCTAGAAAAGGAATATGAAGCGCCTGTTCTTTTTAAATTTCCTGATGTTTATGTCTAGATTGATTGGTTGTTCATGAACAGCAGTACAGTACAGTATGACGTGAGAACCCGTGTAGAGCAAATGGGCAGAATGTTTACAACAATTTCAACAATTAAAATCAAGGTAAATTCTAATTACTTGCCGAAAACTCTAATTTTCTCTAACGGTGCTCTATTTTCAAAGTTTATGGAATGTCCCATTCACAACGGTAAACTCAAAGGCTTAGTACGCTTAAGAAAGAATAAGATACTAATGTTTACAACTTTACAATGGATTATTTTCAATTGTGTTGTCTTTTACAGAAAAAAATGAAGGTGTAGTTGTCAGAATTATGCACTTAACCCCCCCCCATGCTTTTATTAGGTTGACCTAGAAATTCGATGATTTCTTCCACAGTGCTTGTTCAGATATAGGTTTTAAGGTTACCGTTGTGTATAGACCATTTTTTTCTTTACGTAGAGGGCACCACTTAGAATTTCTTTACAAGTCCCATTAAGCATAATATTATTTAGGTTGGAAAGGAGTTGGACGGAGTTGTTATAGTTTGTCAAGCACAGAATAGGATGGATGTCACACCACAGGTAGATTTCATCCAATCAGAGTAGTACTAAGGATAGGGTTGTCAAGGACAGAATAGAATGGATGTCACACCACAGTTAAAGTTCATCCAATCAAAGTAGTACTAAGGATAGGGTTGTCAAGCACAGAATAGGATGAATGTAACACCTGAGGTAGAGTTCATATATCTAATCAGATTAGAACTAAGGATCGGGTTGTCAAGCACAGAATAGGATGGATGTCACACCACAGGTAGAGTTCATCCAATCAGATTAGAACTAAGGATAGGGTTGTCAAGCACAGAATAGGATGGATGTCACACCACAAGTAGAGTTCATCCAATCAGAGTAGTACTAAGGATAGGGTTGTCAAGCACAGAATAGGATGGATGTCACACCACAAGTAGAGTTAATCCAATTAGAGTAGTACTAAATATGACAAATTCATAAATATCCTAGTTTAAAAAAATAAGATTAAAAACCCAATATCAATATTTCAATTTCAAGATTTCAAATAGAATTGATGAAAAGTATTTTTAAATTTTATGAAAATAATTGAATATTTGTAGACGACTAGGATATCTCTTGATGTCGAGTATCCACCGGATGTAAAGGTAAATTTAAAAAAGCTTGTCAAGGAAATACTTAAAAGAGATTGTAGACGTAATTTCAAGCGAACCCCTATTTATCAATTGACATGCCTGATTCAAAACAATGCTTTTTATACCTTTTTCAAGGAAAATGACTAACAGCATCCTCTTTGAGTAAAGCTTTTTCAAGATAGAAAAACTTCCTTGTTACTCAGAAAATATGTACCATAGTGAATCTAACACCCACACTGGAAATAGAGATTAACGTGAAACCACCTCTATGTAAAATTACTGTTCCATTGGGTAAATAGAGTTGTTTAATAGAAGAAATGTATGAAATTGGACGGAAAGAAGGAAAATACAAAACATTAAAATTTGTTAAATTGGGTAGATAATTGTCAGTGAAATATTCTTTTCAATCCAGAGGGGAAATTTTTCAGAAATAATTATATTTTAAATCTAATATTCAAAAATTCTTAAAAATTCCAACATTTTTCTTCTTCTGAAAGATAATTTGGGTTTTTTAAATTAATGTAAAAGTTCGTTTAAATGTAAAGAACAGGTTTTAATTTACTTTTGGTAAATTTTTGAGAATTTAAAATTGTTTACAATTAATATTTTATTTTGCTAATTCTATTTTCTATTGCTTATCTTCTAAACCATCTGTGTTTAGGTTGTATTTGATGAAGCAAGTGTGAGAGAGGGTGAAGATCTAAAAATATCATGCCTAGCAAGGAATCTTCATTCAAAATAATTTATATAAATATTTCATCCTTAATTAGCACAAAAANACATCTCACTTAAATATACTAAAACACTTTTCTTGATTTCATACTTTGCATGAGATTAAAAACAATCCTGGAGCCTAAAGATTTCTTAAACAGTGTGGGGAAACTGCCGGGCCGGTACGAATTTAGCAAAAAGATCCCATGATTAATAGTTAAAATTGGATCGGTTATTACTTATTATATTACTAATATGCACACAGTCTCTAATTTGTCAAAGTTCGAAGATTTGAACAAAGCGAGGTCTACACCAAATTCAATCTGTTGCCAGATGTGTTTTTTCTTAGAGTTTAACAAGCATAAAAAAGTTTTGATTTAAGAGCTCAGCTATATAGCTAAACTTAGAGTTTCCATCTCAGATATTTGGTTTGGAAAATTTAACTTAAATAGTAATGGTTCATAAAATAAAACAAACATATTTAAAAGTCTATATTTTTTCTGCATTCCTTCTGACCCGTCCTCTTTCTTTCTACTCTAAGCATATACCCCCACCACCCTCACCCCCTCCAACCCAGCATCATTCCTCTATTAGACAGCTGTGCAGTATCTTGAATATTATATATCTTAGACAGCTGTGCAGTATCTTTAATATTATATATCTTAGACAGCTGTGCAGTATCTTGAATATTACATATCTTAGACAGCTGTGCAGTATCTTGAATACTATATATCTTAGACAGCTGTGAAGTATCTTGAATATTATATATCTTAGACAGCTGTGCAGTATCTTAAATATTATATATCTTAGACAGCTGTGCAGTATCTGGAATATTATATATCTTAGACAGCTGTGCAGTATCTTGAATATTATATATCTTAGACAGCTGTGCAGTATCTTAAATACTATATATCTTAGACAGATGTGCATTACCTTGAATATTATATATCTTAGACAACTGTGCAATATCTTGAATACTCTATATCATAGACAGCTGTGCAGTATCTTGAATATTATATATCTTAGAGAGCTGTGCAGTATCTTGAATACTCTATATCTTAGACAGCTGTGCAGTATCTTTAATGCTATAATGTGCAGTATCTTGAATATTATATATCTTAGACAGCTGTGCAGTATCTTGAATACTATATATCTTAGACAGCTGTGCAGTATCTTGAATACTATAAATCTTAGACAGCTGTGCAGTATCTTGAATACTATATATCTTAGACAGCTTTACAGAACCTTGAATATTAGATATCTTAGACAGCTTAGTCTGGAACCTTTTTTTTCTTGTAAACGTGATCTTACTAAACATTAAAACCATACTTGGAAAACTCCCGTGAAAAACATTACATAGTTCTACATAGTTGAACATTTATAAAAAAATGTCTACTTTTTTACCGGCAACACTTTCATATTTAACCATCCATAAACCTTCCCTAGGGTCATTTGAACTGACTCAAAACATTTGGGCCACAAACTGACAAACAAGCAAATATAAGAATACTAGGCTATTAAGGCGCTTCGCGCCCATCTTCTTTTTTAACTTTTGATTGTGGCTTTATCTCTGAGCATCTACTCTTTTTACAGTAAAAAAAAGATTGCGGATTTAATAAATTTTGTTCGCGCATTTTCAAGATTTTATAAAAATAAAAATTTTTTAAACACTAATTTTTTAAATTTTGATCATTCATATACTTTCCCTTAGGTCACGTGAGTGACACACAAAATTCGGGCCGGATCGGTTCAGCCGTTTTGACGTTTATTAGATACAAACAGACAGAAACCCAAAATAAATTTATATATACATATATAGATATGCTACATACTGCACTTAATTGTTGTATATTATCAATAAAACATATTAATTAATTTAGGTCTTCCATTAAAGATGTCAGAGCATATTATCAAAAGGAACAGAACTTATTTCAAAACAATAAAAAAATAAGTCAATGGAATAATGTATAGTTACTAGATGCTATTACAAATGAGAAAAAATGTAAAGCACAATAGTTGGAATAATAACAATGCAGATATTGGGAACCCCAAAATCTTTGTTTTCAGAATCTTAGCTCTTGTCACAAACTTAAATTTGTCTTATACCTTTGCAACCTAATAGTATAAACTTTTGATATTTCTAACTCAGTCTATTCTATCAAACAGAATGCATTGTTAGAAATATCTAATGTCTATCACAAAGGGGTTGCAGAGATAAGAGGATTATGTTGTGTTTACATTTTTATAACCTAATAAAAAGCAGAGCAGGCTATTTTTTTGGGGGGAGGGG